TCCCGTTCCCTCCTAGGCCGCTTTCCCCCAGGACGAGCGCCCCGTGAGTACAGGCCCAGCTCTCCCGCTCGCTGCCGCGCTCAGGCCGGGGCTCGGCTCGCTCGGGGCTCCCCCGGGACCCCCCAAACCCCCCAGACCCACCGGGCCCTCCCGCCCCGCCGCCCTGACCTCCACATGAGGCCGCGGCCACCGCCCCCAGCGCGCCTGCGCGCCGCGCCAACACACCCGCAGCTGATTGGCCCGCGCGTCCCGGGGCACTCTGGGATGTGCAGCTCCGGGCAGGCCCGCGTGCCTACAGCTCCCGGCGTGCACCGCGGCTCCCAGGCCTGAGCAAGGCCGCGCGCTATTGGCGGGGGCGGAGCGCTGCGCGCAAGGGCTCTTGGGAGATGTAGTCCGGGAGGGGAAGGGCACGTGGGGGTCGCAGCGGGGACACGGGACAGTGAGGGGACAGAGGAGCGGCCCGAACGAGCAGGGAGGGGGGGCAGTGTCTCCAAACACACCTGTGTGGCCCGCTCCAGGTGCCCCGGGGTTGGACTGGGTGATCTCCAGAGCGCCCTTCCAAGCCCAGCCCGTCTGGCATTCCGTGCAGATCCCACATGTCCCAGGTTGGCACAGCCAGGAGTGGTTCGATGGGACTCTTTAACTAAAGAACAGGTTCAAGGGCTCTTCCTTTGGCCCTGGAAATCCCAGAAGAGCTGCCTGTCCTGTCCCTGGGCAGAGCCTGGCACCACCTTGGCACCTCCTGGGGGTATTTGTGTGGATCGGTGAGATCTCCTTTCAAATGGGATACTTGTATCGTTATCTGAGACATTTACATGGACTGATGAGATATTTGTACGGATATTTGAGATATTTATATGGATTGATGAGATCCCCTCTCATCCTTCTCGCTCCAGACTAACCCGCAATCCCCTCCTCATCAGAGGGATGCTCCACACCCCAAACCATCTTGCCCCTGCAGACAAAGGCCCCTTATCCCTCTCCATGGGAATCGGCCCCCCCGACACCGCTAGAGGGAAGCAGCGCTCTCCATTCGGCTCCGGGAATGCCGCTGAACGGGAAAAAAGAGAGGGAAGGGAAAAAACCACCAACCCTCTGCCCAGAGAGCGTTTTCCCTCGGATGCGACACCGCTGGGCACGGGGGACTTTGTTACCCAGCCCGGCCAACATTTTGGAATGAAAACAGAGCTGAACTCTGTCCTTTAGGACCCAGAGGATCCCGGGAATAATCAGCATCACTTCTGTGAGCTCAGAGAGTCCTTCCCCCCACTCTGCTCCATGGGGGAATCCGAGGCTCAGCATTCCAGGCCTGGAGGCTCCTGGCTGCCTGTGCTGCCCTGGGAGTGGGGTGACAAATGGGGACCCTGAAAGTGAGGGCAGGTCCCTGCTGATGCCCTCTGTGCCTCCAACCCTGGGGTGGCCTCGCTGGAGCAGCTCCTGCCTGGGAATGTCCCCCCTCCTGGGTCCCCTCTGGCATTTGGGGGTCCCCACGGGTCCCCAGCACAGCTGTGCAGACAGATGTGCTCTGGAAGCCCTGTCCTGTGTTTTGCAACCCTCCTTTTGAGGCCCCAAAAGCTCTTTCATGGCTCTGGGAAGCGGATGCTGAGGAGGATTGGGATGAGGGGAAGGTGTTGGGATGAGGCTGGAGCTGCCAGGGACCCCCACAAAGCCCTGCTGGAATGGGGGTGCCCCCAGAGCCATGGCCAAGCCCTAAAAGCTGCCCTGAGCAGGTGCTGAGCCTGCTTGTGATCACTGCTCCAGCACCCCAGGGGGATTTGGGAGCCAAATCCTGGAAACCCTGGGGAGTGGGAAGGGTAAAGCCGGGGTTTGGGTGCTCCCATGCCCACCCTCAGCCACGTGCCTCCCTCCAGGGATGCCCCAGGGAGCATCCAGCCCTGCCTCAGCCCAGCTGGCAGGATCAGCCCCCACATTCCACCCCATCCCAGTGATCCCCACCAGGGCTTTTCCCCCAGGGTTGACTTTGCCTCAGGAGGTTTTTATCTCCTCGCCTCTGATCCAACAACAACATCCTAATTGGTGACAAAGCCACAGCCACAAACACCCAGGGATTTATTCCCCTTCTGACACAAAACTCGGTCGTTAAATTTGGGATTTGGGGAGCTGGGGGACAGGGATTTGCACCCCCTGCCCGGCATCACCCCCTGCTTCTGCATCTCCCTCGCTGCCAGGTTTGTGCAGCCCCTTCCCTTCCCCTTTCCGTGTAAAGTGAGAGGTTCCCATTCAGGCAGAACAGGGAAAAAGGCTCATGGCAATGGGGATTTTTGGTCCAGGGCCCAGGTTTTGGGATGGGAGCTGTGGGAGCCGCCGGGTCGGAGCCAGTGCCACCCTCACCACGGAGCTGGAGGAAAATGGGCCCTTTGTGCTGGGAATGTCTGGAGGGTGATTCAGCCTGGGGTGATGCCGGTGACACGGGCTGAGGGGGCGTGGGGGGTCCCACCGTGTCCCCCCAACATCCAGCGAGCCCAGCCCGGGCTCTGTGGGACAGGGGATGTGTCCCAAAGCCCCCTGACCTGAGGGGTTTGGGCTGGAGCAGCCAGGAGTGTCCTGTGCCCGGGGAAGGGGCTGAGGGAGCCATGGAGGTGCCCCCCGAAACAGTGCTGGGCTGCACCCCACTGTCAGGGAAGGTGCCCCCCAAAACAGGGCTGGGCTGCACCCCACTGTCAGGGAAGGTGCCCCCCAAAACAGGGCTGGGCTGCACCCCACTGTCAGGGAAGGTGCCCCCCAAAACAGGGCTGGGCCCCTGTTGCTGGTGGGTCCCACACCACTCCCTCTCCTCTCTCCCCGAGGCTGCCCCCCGTTTTTGGGGATGTTTGGGGGCCCATTCCTGCCTGGGGCCCAGGACCCGGCGCAAGAAGCGGCTCTTTGTGCTCGGCTGGCCCTGCCCAGCCTGGCCCATGAACAAAACCCTTCCTCTTCTCCCGGCCGGACCATCCGCGGCACCACCGGAGCATCCGAGGCCCCTGACCCCGGCGGGCTGGGCCGATCCACAGGGATGGGGCGGCTCTTGGCGGAAAGGAGGTTTTTCCACCCCAAAACCCACCCAGCCGGCCCTGCCCGGGGGTCCCAGCCCTGCCCTCGGCACCAAACCCGGTTTGAGCCTCAAGGAGCGTTCCAATTGAATCAGTTAAACTGCATTAGAGCCCTGGAGGACACGGCTCAGAGTGGAGACCGCCCTAATGTGATTGCAGCCCAGCTCCCTGCCGCGATTTGCAAGTCAGAGAAATCGAATTAAGGGCTGTTTTCATTCTGAACTCTGTCCACACAGGCCAGTAATGCAGCTTAATTAATCTGCTTTAAAATTGAGCCTGTCTTTCATTCCGACTTCACCTGACCCACCCTGGAGGAACAAAAACCCACTGGGCAGGAGGGCTGGGACCCCTGGGTTTAGATTTGGGGATGGAAAGTCCTGGAGGGTTTAGAGAACCCCAGGATTACCCCTAATCCCATCAGGGGATAATCTGGGGTGGAGCTCTGGGGTCTCCAGTGTCCAGAGAGTTGGAATTGGAGCATCCCGGCTGCTTCCTGGCGTTCCAGCAGCTCCGTGGGCTCCAGGGCCGGGCTTTCCCAGTTCTCCTCGGTGGTTATCGTCCCTTACCAAGGTTCCTCCTCCCCGGCAGTGAGCGGGCAGCTGGAACCGGCTGCGTGAAGGGAAGGCTGGGATGGCTGGGAATTCTCATCCAGCAGCTCCAAGGACACTGGGGCTGGGCCAGGGAAAACCTCAGCCCCCCAAAACCCACTGCCCCTTTATTTCCTGAGCACCTCCAGCCGCTCCCCATCCTCTTCCCAGTTCCCTTTTGCCCATCCCAAGTTTGCAAAGGGAAGGGGCTGGTGGGGTCTCAGCACCAAAACACGACCCCTCGGGGGGAACTGGGGCTTCCCTGGATCCTGGGGACACCTCCAAGGTGACTCTCTCCCACCCTCCCATCGCTCCTGTTTCCTCTGCACAGGTAAAATGGCCTCTCCACCACGGGGCCTCAATTAAGAGGGAGTTAATGACTTAATGAATCATCACAAATTAGCACGCGACCCGCTGACCCGCTCTGGTTGCGGCCACCGCCTCTGGAATTGCGGATCCTTTCATTTCCCTCCGGCAAACCCGCTGCTCATTTACTGCCTTTGGGGGGGGAGAAAGAGGGGGCCTGGAGGACAGGAGAAGCCCTGCCCGGAGGGGGTGACCCCCCCAGTTCCCCCTCCCCCCAGCACTGACCTGCAGCCCCAGCAGGGCCAGAAACTGCCCCGTCAGCTCCTCCTGCGCTCGGGATTTGCAGCGCTGCAGAAAAGGCAGGCTTAAATTAATTTACTGCAGATTAAATTGAGACTTTTGGGGCGCTAAGAGCTGTACACACACAGACAGACACACACATACAGACAGACAGACAGACAGACACACTCACACGAGGCCTGAGTGCTGCTGCAGCATCCCCATCGCCCCCCACCCACCCTATAACCTCTCCGAGCATCCATCCGGGAGGGCTGCTGGGGCTGGACTCTCCTGCTCATTAAGTCATTAATTGCTCATTAACTGCCCAGCATGGGCTCTCCCTGCCCCGGCTGTGCCCCCCAGGGACCCCCACAGCTGAATTCTCTGCCGAGCACCTCCTCACCCCCCAGCTTTGGGGGGTGGTCCTGCCATCCCCAAAACTGCATCCAGCCCCCCTTGACCTTCCCTGGCGCTTTCCCCTCTCCCTTCTCAGCATGGGCACCCCTTCCCTCGGCGTCTGTGCCCCCCCAGCCCCCCGGGGGCAGTGGGTGCTGAGCCACGGATCGATGTCTCCCTGTGCCGGTGACGTTGGATTCATGTCTGGCTGCTCCCAGCCCTGCTTCCCCCGTGCCCGGGGGGCTCTGAAAGCATTTTCATGCAAGCTGTGGAGTTCCAGGAAGCTCTGGAAGGAGCCTGGCCTG